AGCGAGAGCACCCCCGGCGTCGGCGCCAGCGCGGCGCCGTGCGGCGATGGTGCGCACCATGGCGGCGCGCATGGCCTCAAGGTCGGGCGCCGAGGCGCCCGCAGGAGCCGCGCGCTGCGAGGCCGGGGTGCTTGCCATAGAGCGCCGTTGCTCTATCGTGCTGAGGCGCAGGTCTAGCCCGAGGACGTCCTCGTGGAGGCTCAGGAGGTCACCCCGGAACGACCTGAATTCATCCCGCATCTGCCTCATCATGCTGCTCAGCTCGGAGAGGGGGTCGGGACCGGAGCGAGTCGGCCCAGCAGACCGAGAGGCGGTGGGGGACGGCGCTGCTGCTGCGTCAGCGGGTGCGGGGTCCCGCTGGCTGCCGGGGCCAGATGTGGGGCCACCCTCGGACGGCAGGGTACCCACTAGGCCGGCTGCAGCGGAGGGGCTGGCTGGAGCGCTGTAGAAGCTTCTAAGGGACCGGGCTCTATTTGTGCGGTCACCTAGGGTGCTGGCTAGCAAGGCCTCCCCAAACTGCCGAGCTGCCGAGCGCGTGAAGGGACGGCGGCTTGCCCATGGCGGGTCCCCTTGCCCTTCCATTCTGAGAAGGCTGAAGGCAGAAAACCACCACGGGGCTGTTTACCACGGCCAAGTAGGATCCAAGGCACAGGCCCAGGGCACGTGTCGCGTCTGGACTAGAGCGCCGCCGTTTGCCGGCTCAACGTGCAGCCGCACTGAGCACAAGCTAGGCGCACGTACTTGAACCAGAGCGCCGCCACTGGCCAGCTCCACGTGCAGCCGCACGGGGCACGGGCGCCAGGCGCGGGTACTTGGCTTGAGCGCGGCTGCTGGCCGGCTCAACGTGCAGCCGCACGGGGCACGGGCGCCAGGCGCGGGTACTTGGCTTGAGCGCGGCTGCTGGCCGGCTCAACGTGCAGCCGCACGGGGCACGGGCGCCAGGCGCGGGTACTTGGCTTGAGCGCGGCTGCTGGCCGGCTCAACGTGCAGCCGCACGGGGCACGGGCGCCAGGCGCGGGTACTTGGCTTGAGCGCGGCTGCTGGCCGGCTCAACGTGCAGCCGCACGGGGCACGGGCGCCAGGCGCGGGTACTTGAAGCCGGCTCGACGTGCGGGGCACGGAGCGCAGGCTGCGGCCGGCTCCACGTGCAGCCGCACGGAGCGCAAGCCGGGCACGAGTACTTGAAGCCGGCTCGACGTGCAGCCGCACGGAGCGCAAGCTGCGGACCGGCTCGACGTGCGGGGCACGGAGCACAAGCCAGGCGCGTGTACTTGGGAGTGGGTGCCGCCACCAGCTCGGTGCGTCACCGTGCCGGGTGGGATGACGCCAGATCCCTAGAAGGAGGTTGGAGGGTCTTCGAGT